TTGCCTTTAGCCGGTGACTTGTCAGAGAGAGACTGCCAACCCATTACCCTCAGTTCCACTGTGCTCAAACTGCTCGCACAACTTCTACTGGGAAGAGCAGGAGATCAGATCCAACAAGGGGGGCGGTTGCAATGGTCACGTGCAGGACGACAGGGGGTGGAACTTCTTGCAGTGCTCTGGAGAGTGGTACGCATGGCTAAGGATTGGGGGGTAGGCACCTGGATTGTCAAACTGGACATCAAAAAAGCATTCGACTCCGTGAGCCAGGTCAGCTTGGCAAAGCTTATTGCAGAAAAGGTGGGGGGGATGCGACAGAACAACACCACGGACCCCACCGGACAGCCATGGGAAACACGCCTCTGGACATCATTGCTACAACCGCGCAGCCTCCACATCGCAACGGGGGACCAGATAACACAAGTTGAACAGACCAATGGAGTTCGCTAAGGGTCCCCTGACTCCCCGGCACCACGAAAGCACTGCAGACAGCAGTCTCAAAGCACAGCCAACCAACTTCAACTCGACCACCTCAGGCAGATGGCAGATGCTTCACATGAACCGAAGACCGGGAATGCTGGGCAGATTGGCACAAACGAAGTCTCAGACAAGCCCGCGTGCAACTCCACAAGCACCAAGCATGCAGATGGAGCTCCTTCACCCTTGAAGTATATGGACATTCTGGAGACACCTCGCTAGAGGAGGAGAGGAAGTGAAAAACATGACTACTTGGAAGAACTTATCATCGTGGAGGGGGGAACAACTCAAAGGCAACAGGGGGGCCAAACACAAACACAGATTCAGCAGCAGTCTGGACATCGAAAGAGCACTGATAAAAACAGGCGGGGAACAGTGGTTGCACACAGCCCTACATAGGGAGAGATGGAGGGACCTCACGACAAAATTCGTCGAGCAACATGACACCCCATGGACAACGCTGAGACAACTGCAAATCGACAATCTCACACCCACCACGCGCACACACCCAACCAGGGGGAGAGCAAGGGGATGCTTCGCGAATGACAGGACACACTGTCTGAGACACACCCGCCCCCGCCCCTCCCTTTGGTGGCGAAAAACATACAGCAACAGTGCAATGAGAGTGAATCCTTGATTCAGCCTCGTTTACACTACAAACCCAGCATACTACGCAATTCCTACCTCTACCTCGCCTGCCGTGCTCTACTACGGTGACCACTTTTAAACATGTCCCCATAGCAAAGGGGGTGCGTTCGAACCTGCTTCGCCGTTCTATGGAAAAGGCCTGTTGCACACGAGCTCGCGAGGATGACATGACCACGCTCCACATCAGCAGCTCGAGGTGCCGTGAACGGATCGCTATGCTGTCATTTCGACACGAGAACGAGTGTGGTTGGTGCCAGCATTGCGAGCTTGTGTTTTAACGAAAGGGTTCAAGTTGAAATACGATGAAATAAGCACCTGCTGTGACGTCGCAGGGCTGCCGCCTCCGCCGCGGCGGCCCGGGCCTCTCGCGGCTTCCGTGCAGGGTGCCACACTTGGGAGCTCAAGGCGGCGCGGCCCCGAAGAGCGGAGCGAAGTCGAAGTGCCAAGCAGAGCATGTGTGAGGGGCATTTTGACGATAGGTGCTGCTGTGCTCGGATTGGCGCCGGTCTTACTTTCAGGTGCTGCAGGTCAGCCTTTGCGTTCCTGTGATAGTGGTATCAGTGGACTTTTGACAATTGCGGCAGTGTCAGACCCGAAGCATTCATGTTGCACGCGTTCCATGGCTGCACCGTGTCGCCTGTTTCTTTCGCAACAGCCCACAAAACGCATGCAGCAGCCTGTTAATTCCAGGTCCTACGTCGGCCTTGTCTCTGAAGACCCTCACTCAGTGCTGGCCTGTAGAGCTTCTGCAGACGCGAGCTTGCACGACCATCGTGGGCGACGGGGTGCATCGCGTGCGCCATTCGTTGTCGATCCCACAATCTGCAGTATTTTAGTGTGCCGTGGCGAGGTCCACGAGGCAGGGGCGCTGCAGCAAAATTTGACCGGAGTGTTGTCGCAGGGGTGTGACAAATGGCCTGGTAGACCAGGTGGGGATCCCTTGCCTTTGTTTGTATCATTCAATGGCCGAGAGATTGAAAACCTTGCACGCGGTGATCGTGTGGTGTTTGTAAAACTTGTCCTTCTGAATTGGACCCGGATAGAAAATGTCCGCGGATCCTCGAACGAATCTTCAGGCAAAGCTCGTAACATCCGAGTTTGTTTTCATCACAGAAAAACCAATAGCACCGGCGCTGCCAGTACGAACGGCAGCATGGCAGTACTTGCCGACTGAATACAGCCACAAGTCTTGAAGCTTGACGGCGTGCAAGACTAGCACCGAGGAGTGGACCTCCCTCACTGTTCCCATTGGCCGCGCTGATCACTCCTGGGGCATTGCATCCGGCGGAGCCTCGTACTCAGGGTCCTTCGTTGAATGCCCCTTCGCTCTTTTTGACATTTTTCAACCATAGCTTACTGATGTGCTCGCCTACTTCGAGGCTCTTTTCGCTTGCGGTCGCGAAATTGGCCGAATTCAGGCTCAAGCGGCTGTGTGAAATTAGCGGACATCATTCGGGTGCGGAGCGCCCCGAGTTTCGCAATTTGGGTGGTGTAAGCACCATGCTGCACTGAAGTGATGGGAATGGACGGCGCAGGCATGAGTTACTGGGGATTGTGTCCGAAAGAGCAAGACTGTTCAGCAGTTCCATTGTCTTTCACAGCTGCGCAGGGATATGGATCGGACAGCTGTTTACGGTGGGTGTTGTCCTCAGACATAGTCGGAACAAGACCTGTTGTGAACTCTGTAAACATGGATGCCTGCTTTGTTCGATGAACTTGATTTCCTTGATCTGCTCGCATCCATGGAAACGACACGTGCCCCTGTCAAATCCTGTCAACAAGTTCGCTGACGGAAGTAGTTTTTGCGGACAGTACTGCACCAGTTGAGTTCAAGACTCCAGTGCATGGAAGCGTCTCAGCCTGGGAGAAGTCTTTGCATTGCCAAAATCAATCCGGACCGAGGTCGTTGACATGGACACACGGACTGCTTCGGCCACCGGCAAAGTGGGTGTGTGTGTTACTGGCAAGGCAGTGCGATTTTTCACCTTGAAATATTTTTCTGATTCAGTGAGGACACGTTACGCCCTCGATTTTACATGCTAGGTTTCATGTTGCTCGGATTTGAGACTTCGTTGGCAGAAGAATCTGGTCCGTGATAGGATCTGAAAGGAAGCTTGCACTGCGAAGCTTCAGCCCCATAGAGCGGGCATGATCAGAAACCGCACAGCGTAACACAGCGTCTGATCCAAAGTGAGGTCGCAACCAGGAAAATTAGCGCTTAAGGTCGCCATTGACGATCGTGACCTCGTCGAGGCCGCCCTCTCGCCTTCCGACTTGACAGCTTTGTCGTGGGTCTTAGCAGATATGTGATTTCGTCGGGGCAGTGGGAGCTTACATCCCGCACCTGCTTGCTGCAAGACTTGCATCTGCACAGGCGACTCTGCGCTTTTGTGCGTTCCTTTCTGGCCAGGTCTTCGTTTCCTTGCCGACCACGGTCTTCCCGGCCGCCTCGAACTGTCGAGCTCCAGCCAGGCTGGTTGCCGTCTTTCGGGGCTTCGTGTTCTTGCAGCACTCGGAAGTAGCCTGAAACAAGATGGTGCGCCGTTCGGTGGCTCGGCGCTGCGGCGAAGTACCCACAATCAGAACATTTGTGGCTTGAGACGCGCGCAGTCGTGATTCTTGCAACAGGTACAGCATCACGTTCCTCGGCGAAACGACGGCTGGTTAGAGAGATCAAAGAGGACTGCGGCAGATAGGGGCTTCAGAATAGATATCCGAAGTTGCAAGCTTTGCCCCAGGCGAATTTTGCGTGGTACCACGATTGAGGTTGTTCGGTTCAGGGTAAAGAGGATTTGGTTCATTTGCCCACAGGGTCTGCGCGGCAGGCGTGCCCGGCGGTTCCGTGGCACGCAGGACACACGGTCCTCCCGCGAATCGATTGCATATGCTACCACTTTAGAGTTGTTGTGTGTTGACCTGGCATAGGTATAATCCGGCGACGTTTGCTTTCAATTATCTCTCCCAGGCCCTGTTCTTTTCTTAAGGGCCTTTTCCCTCGATTTCAGGAATATTCTCGTCGAAGAATTTGATGGAAGAATTTATATGGTTTTATTTTGAATAAGAATCATTTATAGAAATAATAAATTGTCGTCTGATTATAATATATAACTCTTAGAATCGAATTCTAAATTTCTATATTTTTGATATCTATGCAAGGCTCGATAATTAGATGTCGATATTTATTTCATACAAAATCTTTAGAATATAAGACATTCTTCTCACTCAATCGAATTTTAACCCTAACACAGAAGAATATAATAGAGATGGATGAAAGATTAAGAAATTCTACCGAAAAATTCTAATAAAAATTCAAAATAAATAAATACGAAAAAATATATCGAAAAATAAATACAGATAGAAATTTCAAAATAAATAATATTTCATATATTCAAATGATTATTTTATGATATTAAAATAAAAATAAATTATTAAATGAATTATTATATTCCATAAAATGTAATGGTATCGTTTATATCTTATTTTTTCATTTTATGAGGTATTTAAATATATTTCATGGTTTCTTTATATCTCGAATAATATATTTATCTAAAGATGAATTTTTAAAATATAAATACCATAAATATAAAATGAAAATAAGAGAAAGAGATATATATATATAATGATATTACGCAACTCTACCCGCTCCTCGTATGACTGCCTTCTTTTTACGGGCCCTATTATATTGCCTTCCTCCCAAGGTGGGTGGGTGGGGGTGTAGAGGTTGTGCACGAGAGTTGTATTTATCGCCCTAGGGCGGTTTTGGGAATTCCGTCCCCCCCCTCTCTCATTCCCCCTCCGTCTTCTTTCCCCCCCCCCCCCAGTAATTAGGTGTGGGGCGAAGAAAGATTACTGATTTCAAGATTAATGTTTATTCCTATTTGTCTTCTTACGGGGTTATAGTGGGGGTTGGGGTCAGGGTTTGCCCCACTCAGTGGGTAGTAGGCTACTAGATTTAAGTGCATAGATATGTTATGTAAAATCCAATATCGTTTTATTAAATCATCGTATCATATTTAAATCATTTTAATTATAGAATAATAGATAACGAGCTAAAATTTCACTCCTAAAATATGTATAATACATCTATAAAAAGTTAAAACCGCACGAATAAATAATTAATCAAAAAATTAGAAAAACAATTTTAATCACGATTCATTTCGAAAATAATAGAATAATATTTTTATTGCTCATAATCTTTTATAGAGATTTTAAAATTAGAATTTTTAAATATGAATAATTCTAATATTTCATATTAAATTCATATTAAATCTATAATTATAGTTTATATAAAAACAGAAATTATTAACAATCATAAAGAAATTATTTATTTATTTATTATATAATAATATTCAGAAAAAACATGAAATTATAAATATCATTCAGAGCTATTTTCGTATCGCTCTGGCGCTCTGTTGGCGCCTAAGTAAAGGAGTGCCCTGGAAGCCTGTGCTTCCAGTGCTTTCAGCCCTAAAACCACTCGTGAGGTGGCTGTGCGCATCGGACCATAGATGCATCCGGGCCGGCTAGCGTTGGGGAGGAAGGGGGGATAGGAAGTTGAGGTTCAAAGTGATTGCATGAGTTTCTATTTGCTATGTGCAGGCGCAGCCTGCTTGTATGACTACATCTATAACCCACATAGACACGGAACCTAGGAAGCTTGAGGACTTATGATTGGGCGTTAAACGCACGTGCTGCATGCAGTACCTGCATCACCCTAAGTATTGGCTTGTAACTGGAAACTAGTAACTAGTCTTGGGAATCAGGCTTGCTGGGCTCAAACCGAAACAGAAGCTTACTGGTTCTCAGTAGGGAATAAGGGAATATATTATTTAGGGACTATATAGGGATAATATTCCCTTATTCTACTAAGACCCAGTAAGGAAGGCACAGGGACTATTCCTACACAATCTTCCGGAACACAGTGCAACTAGCATCAGGCAAGCTTAACTCTACACATCCAACTACTGATCTGCAAAGTAACCTCAGGATATCCATGGACAAGGCTGCACACGGATCAGTAATTCTGGATCTATCCGTTCGTTGCCAATGACTGCAATAAAACCAGCCGTTGAGATGTTGAAATTCCAAAGTCCAGCTGCTGGATTACGACCATCAACGTCGGGCTGCTGGTAAGTGAGCAGCACCTCACGAAAGCCAGCATTGGCCTGCACCGCCCCAGCCAAAGTGAACTCAACACCGTTTGGGTCCGGGCTGCGACCATCAGCACTCAGAGGTTGACCGAAAGGCGGAGTGTTGCTGAATTGAATGAGTATCGAGTTGGAGAAATTTGGGAGACAACACTCAGAAGGCAGGTCCGCATGAAATTGCACAGCGGTCTCGGCAGAGGAAAGAGTGGTGCCCACCACTGATCGATTGAAGAAAATCGCACTCTTTCCATCGAAACTGTTGCCGAAGCAATCGGCAGCCGGCAAGATTTGATTGCAAGGCTGCAGACCAAACCGCAAAAGCATAAGCGAAGCATTTTGGACGGTAAGGTTGCCGTCGCCATCCAGCAGCCTGATAGTCCAATCACCAACCGCTGAGAATCCGTTGAAGGCCACGATGCCGGCAGCGAGAGCCCCTCCGCTGCTGCCAGGGACTGCTGTCACACTCATCTCAGTCCCATTTGGGCTGGTGATTGAGATGAGCTGGATCTCCTCCAGCTCCAGCAGAGGACTTGCTACAACTGACAAGTAGCCAGGCACGAGAGTATCACCGCTTGTGCCCCCCACACATTGACACTCGGGACTCGCCACAGTTGATTCGATTGTGAGGGTGTTTTGAGGTGGATCCAGCTGGCGGAAAAACAGTTGGCCTTGCCCTCCATTGGCATTGCCACCGGTGCACACTACTCTGGTAGTGCTGGTGCTGGTAGTGGTGGTGCTGACAGTGGTGGTGCTGACAGTGGTGGTCTTCCTGCCATAATACTTACCATAGTACTTTCCGTAGTACTTGCCATAGTACTTTCCATAGTACCAGCTCGGGTACCGGCCATACCTGCCATAGTACCAGCTATGGTACCTGTCATAGCTGCCATAGTGCCTGCCATAGCGCCCATAATAGGGATGACTATGTTGATTCTGCATTGGATGATGGTATGAAGCAACGTCCTGCTCCTTCACCACCTGCAGAAGCATGTTCTCGTCACGCACGCAACCCACACAGCTCGAAAGCCCCTGGGACACGGCCGTCCCAAAAAAGGACCACAGCAGTATTGCCAAAACTTCGTTCAGCAGCATTGCAAAACATGCGATGCGAAACGTCTATGCAAGGAAGGGCGCACTTGCAAGAATCGCACCCGAGCAAAAGGCTACAGCATCGCAGGATTGCACATGCAGAACTATTCCTTAAGCATCACACCGCGGATTCCTAGGATCCCTAAGTAAGTTACAAGATTAATGTCCTGAGTCGAGGCCTTTGCGATGAATTCCTCATATTCGGATCGTTTGCGACATGCACTTTTGTGCAGGACTTCCGTCTGGCTGTAAGCCCGTCATATATAGGTGCCTCGCAGCAAGACATGGCAGGATCGGCAATAAAAGTTTGACCTGATTTCCTACGGGAGTCACCCCATCCAAATTGATATCTACTTCCCGTGCAGTGCACATTTGCGCCGGTCATGTGCAGAACCCGAAACCCTAAACCCCTTCCAGGGGAGCCTTCGTTGGAGTGCGGAGAGAACCTAGCGGCGTTTCGGGCTTAATCCGGTTTTGGGGGTAGGGTTTTGGGGTCTCAGTGTTTGGTGGAAGCTCTGGTTTTGGGTTTTTTGGGACTGGAGTTTCGGTTTGGTGTTGAAACAGTTCATGTCTGCTGACCAGTGTACAGCTGTCTTGAGCATGTCAACGCAGTGTCATGGCTCTCGAGGTTCTAGTCTGGTAGCATAGCGTACACAGTGGCAGCTGTGCGTGCGTGTGCAAAAGAGACACCTGCTAGCCTTGTAGTCTGTACGCATTCCTGGGAGGGCTACAGCGCCCAGGTTACATCTCAACGTGGTAGCGGAGCTCCTAGGGTTGTACCTGGAGTGCTTCTTTTGTGGAGGTGTCCAGGACATAGACCCTGGGAGCATCCCTCCACGGACGGAGAATAGCCAGAAGTTGGAAAACCTTAGAGAGTGATCCAAAGGCCGTAGAAAGAAGCCATGGCTAGCCAAAAGCTGCACCAGCACCCAGAGTACGATGATGAAGAGTATGTAGATGGCGAAGCCTTCGCTGCGAATGTGGGACGACATCTCCAAGAGTTACAACGTCTCAGCGCCTTTCAGCAGGTGGCGACCAAAGTACCACCTGCCTATGACGGCAGAAGCAGCTGGTTCGTCTATGAAGATGCCATCGATGACTGGGTTTACATAACCGAGTTAGAGCCAGAGAAACAAGGACCAGCCTTGAGAATTCGGCTTGAAGGTGAAGCAGCAAATAGCAGCAATTCACAAACGTCTTCTCGACCGAGAAAAGCTGAAGGATAAGGTCACTGGCGTGCAGTACTTCAAGAGTTACTTGAGGCCTCTCTTTGTGAAGGGCGCCTCAAACGTGTTCCTGTACCGCTTCCAGCAGTTCATGACCTTGCACCGTGGCAACAGTGACATGCTGCGGTGGATTACAAGGTTCCAGTTGTCTTGATCGAGAATGCAAAAAGCTTGGGGCGACACCTTCGTGCCCATCACAGATGTGA